CAGCTCATGTCATTAACATTCCCTGAGGGTGTGCTAACTTTAGGCACTGCTCTGTCTGAAGCTGTGTTAGACTTTAATCTGAGCTTTGTTTTAACACAATCTGATCAGAAAGAGCTGACTTAGATGCACACTGCACAGAAACACTTCACTGTGTTTAGATGATTACTGCTGAACATTCTGCCAATGCACATATATGTAGAACGCCCCCACTGCGATGTCACTGCAAAGTATCCACAGTGTTTTTGAAAACCCAAAAATTTCTGTTTAACTTTTAGAATAATTCCACTTTAACAGAATATAAAGTTAAGTGTGTTATGAAAAAGGAAAACCATATTGCTTAACGTTACTTGTCATTTTGGTTGACAGCTCATTTCCTCTGCAGCGTTGGTGTCACAGTGAAAATGGCGTTGGATTATTTAAAGCGTTGTTATCCTCAGACTTAATCAGCTCTGTCTCTCGCTCATAAAGTGTCAACAGTCTGCTCCATCGGGCCGAGAGATTAATCGCAATCGAATCGAAATCTGAATGAACGCAATTAGCAAATCGCACAGGATGCAGGTTTTGAAGTACCATAATTTCCTCCACAAACAAAATGTCCCACTTATTCTGCATAAAAACTGCTAACCCTGTAGTTTAGATCTGCACAAACCTGCTCTGAAATGTGATTCTTGTTTTGCTTTTCTGTTCATAATCCACTCATTTTGTCAAGTCTCTGGGACACTTTTAAAGTCAACTTTCAACAGAAATCTATTGATACTTTGCAGATGACATCTTCAGCATTCCCTGGGGTGTGATGCCAATTGTATGCACTGCCCTGTCTGAAGCTCTCAGACTTTAATAAGAGCTTTGAAAGGTCCTATATTAAATCAAATTGCCTCTTGTGATCTTAAAGACATGTTAGAATGTTGTTAAATTATCAAGAACATAACTGGAGTTATGTTTGAGGAATCCTTTATTATTAGACTATCTACATCAGTTGTCTCCAACCTGTAGCTCGGGAGCTACCAGTAGCTCTCCACCCCCTTCCAAATAGCTTCCCAAGGGATTTCTGGATTATACGTATTGCACTGAATAATTTAAATTTGATTAAATGCCTATTTCCTTTGTAAATGTATCATTTTGATGTATAATTTAGTGCACTGATAACTGGATAATGGGTTCTGTTTTATAAGCATCTCAGTGCACCTCATTTTCAGCTTGCCATGGCTCTTATATTTACTACCACAGAAATTAGTAGCTCTCTGGAGGAAAAAGGTTGGAGACCCCTGATCTACATCTACAAAACTCAAAATGCTCTGTTCCACCTTGTGATGTCATGAAGCAGTAGTTTTCAAATTAACAGCCACCTTTTGCTTTTTGTTCAGTAGATTGGCAATTCCAGATCTTAAATTATCCAAATAATTCTAGTGAAGCTGTAAAGAATTTAAACAAAGTGGAGCACTTCCTCTATTACCACATGACATCACAAGGTGAAACAGAGTATCTTCTATTTTACAGAAGAATTCAGCCTAAATATGCAGAGTTTGTGTATAAAACACGTGTGAATAAAACAAAACAACTCCAGGCATGTTTGTGATGAGGAAACATAAGAAAAAAGCATTATACTGGACTTTTAATATTATCTGAACTGAAAGAATTCATTTATCTGGAACTACATCAGCTGATTTGTACTGCTAAACAATTCTGTCAGACATCAAATTAAAGTCACAGGCTAGCAAGCATTAGCCAACAGTTATTCAGTTACACACTCTGACCTTCTTTGTTTAAATCCATTTGTAAATGTTTCTTGAATTTTCAGATCTTAAAACCTTTGAGGCCGTGTTTGCTAATATGTGCATTGTCTCACTATGGTAAGAAACATTCCACCATAGAAACCCATGTAGAACACCACCAGTATGATGTCACTGCAAAGTATCAATTGGTGGTTTTCAGACAGTAGAATGTGACGATGTCAGACTGTGAGATGGGGCCAGAGCCAGCGTTCCTATTGATTACATTGTACTTTGCCATGTTGAGCCGGATCATTTCTACTATAGACCAGACCAAAGGACACACTGTACCACAACCAAAATTTGCATTTTAACAATAGTCATTTTAGCTGCCCCCTGTCCGTATTACAGGTGCACTGTGTACTTTTCAGGTGGAGAGTGTGCACCTGCATGTCTCCCTATAGATATTGCTTTGCCCAGAATTTTCCACAGCATGGTATTTAATTTATCTCCATGGAGACAAGCAGGTAGGGCTGGGAAAAACATTTGTTCTGTTTGAGTTTTGTTTCTTTCACACATGTTTAACACACAAACCCTGCATATTTAGGCTGAGTCCTTCTCTCAGACAAAAGACACTCCGTTCCACCTTCTGATGTCATGTGGTAATTAGAGAAAAGGCTCCACAATGTTTTTAAACTCCATACACTTTCACTAAAATCATTCAGATCATTTCACCCATGGAATTGCCAATCTCTGCTGAACTAAAGGTGAAGCTGTAAAGAAGTAAAGGAGCTGATAACATGAAAATTGCCGCAACATGACATCACAAGGTGGAACAGAGCATTTTGAGGTTTGGAGATGTAGACAAACTAATAATAAAGGATTAGTCAAACATGTGATTGAAACAACACAAGTGTAGGTATGTTTTTGATGAGGTAACAGCATTATAACTTGGCTTAAAGCTCACAAGTAAATTCTGTGTAATATAGGACCTTTGCACGGGGACAGTCATGACACAGCACTCTGGCCTCAGTCTCTGAATAACTGGAACACACCTGCTCAAACACAACCGATTATTAATGATGGACGGAACTTTGGACTAGAACAAGTCTGTAAAGTTATATTTAGGATACTTTCAGCTTGAGAACAGTACTGTGTGTGGATAGAGGTGTCACTCTTTCAGTGCACTGCAACATCTACTTAAAATCTGTTTTCAATGGTTAGAGCCATGGATGCGTCGAAATGGATTTTCCAATATGTGACCTGCTGCTGTGGCAGATAACCCTAACCGATACTGCCAATACCAATATTTTGCTTTTAAAATCCATTGCAAAGTAATGATCACAGATTCACTTTTCACTTTCGTAAAAATTTCTGGGATGCAAAATAATTAGTTAATGTACACAATACTACACATACAGCCATATATCTGTCTTCTGTTTCAATTTTCAGTCATTACTGTCAATGCAAAAAAGCAAAACAAAAATATATCAAAGAAGCTGCGTCTATCAGCCAATACTCATACTAGAACTGATATAGGGCTCACCCCTAGTTCGAACACTTGCCCACAAAACTTAAAAATCAGAGATTCATTTCTAAAGCTGATCAAGACCTGTTATTGTGTCCTTAGGCAAGACACTTCACCTTGCTTAATATGACTGTAGTATGTGAATGAGGGGATTGGTGATGGTCACAGAACAAAAGCAGATGCAAGGTTTTTAATTATAGTAAGGTCCACAAATTGAGGCAAAGTTGTCAAAAAGTCTCTTAGTCAATTACATTTTGTGTCACGTTGTCACGACGAGAATGTTTGCGATTTATTAACAATAACATTACAATCATTATTTAAATTGCTGATGGTTTCAAAATGCTATGGAAATATACTATAATTACAACTAATTACAACATACCCTCATGTACTTAAATTAAAAAGACATATAAGAAATTATTATAATGAAAAGGTTGACTTAAAGGTTCTATATTACACAAAATGAACTCTTGTGAGCTTTAAGCCATGTTATAATGCTGTTACCTCATCAACAACAGACCTGGAGGTTTGTTTTGTGTCATTCACACATGTTTGAGTAATCCTTTGTTATTAGTCTGTCTACGTCTCCAAAGCTCATAATGCTCTGTTCCACCTTGTGATGTCATGAAGCAGTAGTTTTCAAGTTAACAATTCCAGGGCTGAATTTATCCAACTCTAGTGAAAGTGTGTGGAGTTTAAAAACACAGTGAAGCATTTTCTGTATGTATGAATGAAACAAAACACAACTCCATGTATGTTTGTGTAGAGTAAATCACGTTATAACATGGATCAGAAAATAGCGTAATATGTCATCCTTTTTATCCCGATTCCTTTCACTCTTTCCTACCTCTTCCCCAGCGGCCTCTTGCACTACAGCTGTTGAAATAGTGAATAGAGTGGAGACTCTGAGAGTCACAGGGATAAGCTCGCTCCAGTCAGACCTGTTCTTTTGAATGAGTCTGATTCAGTCTCCGTCTCTGGCACAAACACTGACACTGGCAGACGCCCGCTTCATTCATGCCACTGTCTGTGACTCTGGGGGCAATAGCGACTCAGTGATCCACATACAAGGAGCTGAGGCCAGGGCAATTAATCATGTTTATTTGTGTTTACCACTCGAAAACAATTACAAACATATATGTATATATATATATGTTTGTATAAATACTTGTAAAATACAGACTGAGGCTATGTTCTATTCCCTCCCCCACTCCACCTTTAGGTCAGCCTCTGTTACGCTCTGAGTGAGTGACAGGTGGATTTGACTAATCACAGTGAAGTAAGAGGAAGATCCCAATAACAGCTTTTAATGCTGTAAAAACACAGGAACAAAATAAGATGTTAGTGTGATTGCCACATCACAGATCTGACTTGTAATATGGGCTGGAAGAGTTTGACTGCTTAATGCCATACTGTGGAACAATCAAAGCAAAAACATCTCCTAGAAGAAAATCAGGTGGTACACACTCACCAGAAAAGTTACGTGGAGCGGCTTTAAATTGATAAAGACAGCATAGATTGGATAAAGAAGTGGACATCAGCCATTCAAATGAAGCTCACTGAGGCCGGCAGTTATAGAAGCAAATTTGGAGCCAGTTCCACATTAGGAAAAGGAATTGACTTACGCAAAAAATAGTGAAATAAACACACCAGGATCAGGATGAGGGGTGACAATTTTTCTGTGTAAAATTAATTGTGTCACGTGTCACTGTTTGTGTGTCTTGGTGTGTATGTACAGGTGTGTGTGCATATGCTCCTCTTACCTTGCCGGTCTTGTGGTCGAACCAGACGAGCGCGTGGTTCCGGGACAACACTTTGCAGTCGAAAGTGGCGTTGTTCTGGGCGGGTCGGCAGCGGGCCACAGAGCGCCCGATCTTGACGGGTTCGTCCAGGTAAACATGGCGCTCCTGGAACGGGTGCGAGTTTGGTCGGCACGTGAACACAGCCAGCGCAGACGGCATCGGTTTGGGCTTCAGCGTGTTGCTCCAACCAGACACCAACGAGAGGCCGTCCTGCTCCAGAGTGGCTGATGCTGCTTGGTCTCTCCACAAGAAAAAAAATATCTGAATCCCACTCCACCGGGTCCCCTTCCTCGAGTTTAGTGTCCAGTAAATCCTTCAGGCACTAACTAATGCGCATTGTCCACCGTTCGGAGCAGTACATTCCTTGGATTCAGCCACAAACTGGACCTACTTGCTACTCATTGATTGAAAAGGTCTGATTTTTAGTTCCAAACTCACAAACAAAATTACGGAAAGTGTTTCATTTATTCTACCACCACAGCAAATTACTTACTAAACCTAACTAGCACCTTGTTAGAACACTGGGGTACTTGAGAAGCTTAATTAATTTGGTCAAATGGAGAAGGAGGGTAATTATCTGGGGATTAATAGAGTACTAGGACTCCAGGTTTAAGTCCAAGGCTTACAATTTTAGCGCCACTAAAGCTACATACCTAAACCTTTAAGCAGCAATACAAGACTAGGCACTATGTACAGACCGCGGTGCCATGTGTCAAGACATACATGACTGAGGATAGCACTGACAGCCCTCCACGTCCATCAAATCTAACGCTACCGTCCCGTACAACTCACCATAGAGTAATAATGCCAAGTAAAGCTATTAGAAATACAATCGATTTATGCTTCAACGCTTCTTGCACGTCGTTTCGCGCTTAGTCTCTGGAGTTAACACGCTTTGAATGAAACAAACCCAATCTTCATGTCAGTAATAATGTGCTCCAGCAGTGGTAATACACGGAATATTAGCTCATGTCACCACTCCCTCATATCAACACCTTAATTTAAACAGGCAACCCTGAGAAATTGACGCTGACTGAGGCTAAAACAATCTATTCCCACGTTTCAAATCTGTGTTATCCACTCGAGTGTCGTGCAAAGACTTGGCCAGACTGGTTTGAAGTGTGTCGATGCGGCTAAATGCTAATGGGAGCTGTAGGCTGGGGTGAGAAGGGGAGTTAGCGCCTGGTTTTGGCGTAGTACCAGCGGCAGGCTAGGCTAGGCTAATGACAAACTTATCACCATTAACTCCAAATGTTTTCCCTGGGCCCTTCTCAATCAGTTCGCTAACCAGCTGAAGCCGACATGCCATCCCTGTCGCCCGGTGTCAATAATTCATGAGGGAGATCCCAGGTATTTGCCGCAACGGAGCCGAGGAAGCGAGCGCAGGTTAGCTTAGCCTTAGCGGTGAGATGGGCTAACTAGCCCCGGCTAACTGCCACTAAATCAGGGGAGTTTCTGGACTTAACTGCGGCTCCACTCGCATCGCACCAGCCGCAGTTACCCGGCCGTGAGTCCCCCAGGGCGGGCCGCAGACCTCCGTGCCTCGGTCCTCGATCCTCGTCAGTGTGGCTGGTGTTTTTTGACCGCGCGTAAGCTATAAATCCACCGCCTTTACACAGTTTTCTGGAAGGAATCTGGGAGAAGTTGACGTGCTCCAGCCGCGGCCGCCATACTGTTACTGTGGTGCGTTCAAGGTCCTCTCCATACTGTGACGGAGATGCGTTCACGGTTCTACTCACTGTTACTGTTTATGCATAAAAAAATACTCGAGTCCTCCAATGACACCTTTTAGTTTGTTAGTATTTTTTTGTTTTTTTTTTAGTTTAGTCTTTATTTAAATGCTCTTTCCTGAAAAAAACATACTCGGAGTTGTGTTTTGTTTTATTCACACATGTTTTGCTCAAAATGTTCTGTTCCACCTTGTGATGTAATTTAGTGGCAGTTTTCAAGCTTTTCAGCCACCTTTTACCTTTAGTTCAGTAGAGACTGGCAATTCCAGGTCTGAAATGATCCAAATGATTCAAGTCAAGCTGTTCAAGTCAACACAATGGAGAATTTCCTAATATTTCCTATTATCACATGACATCACAAGGTGGAACAAGTATTTCCTGTTTGAGAGTAGAACTCATCCTAAATATGCAGGGTTTGTGTGTTAAACATGTGTGAATGAAACAAAACACAACTCAATGTATGTTTGTGGTGAGGAAACAACATTAGAACATAGATCAGAAAATGGCGTAATATGGGCTTTAAAAGAAAAGCAGCTGGAGCTTTAGCCTGATCAGACAGCACCTGCAGGGAAGAAGAATTTACTAAGAACATGCAAACAAGTCCACACAGAAATCTACATTGTTTAGGAATTAAATTTTAGACCTTCTTGTTGTGAATAAGTGATATATATATATATATATATATTTTTTTTTTTATTAAAGGGCATATTACACTATTTTCTGATCTACGTTACAATGCTGTTTCCTCATCAAAAACATACCTGGGGTTGTGTTTTGTCTCATTCACACATGTTTAACGCACAGACCCGGCATATTTAGGATAGTTCTGCTGTCAAACAGTAAACACTCCACACTTCCACCTTGTGATGTTCTGTGTTTTTAAACTCCATACACCTTCTCTGGAATCATTTAGATAATTTCATCACTGGGATTGCCAGTCTCTACTGAACTAAAGGTCAAAGGTAGCTGTTAACTTGAAAACTACCACCTCATGACATACAAAGAAAACGCAACTCCAGGTATGTTTTTGAGGAGGTAAGAACATTCTAACATGGCTCAGTGCTTACGAGAGTCATTTTTGCATAATATACTAGAACCTTTAAATCTACCACCTTTAGCATTTGAACCTGTGTTATTTCATTTGATTACACAACGCATAAAGATCATGCATTGTCCCTTTTTCATCAGTGACACTCAAAACCTCCACGCACAGCCTTCTTCCTGAAGATTTGACCCGTGCATCTTTCTTGGATCTCTTCATTTACTGTAACCCAGTCTCTCTCTGCATTGATTCTCTCTCATCTGTCCTTCTGCGCTGGCTCTAAGGAACAGGCTGAATCTGATCCGACCCACCACCTCCTCTGCTCAAGTCTGGGGAAGTGTACAGGGTGTTTTTCACTGGCAAAAATGTAAATGGTCACAATGATATAAGAGCTGGTTTATCTGGAATGCATCTTTGTCTCTTATGGACACTATACAAACATAGGAAAATTATCTCTTGACATTTTTGGGGTTGTGGTGAGTTAAATTTTTTGAAAAGCAGTAGTTCCAAAAAGCACTGATACAACAACAGCAAAAATGTAAAAATGTAAATGTAAAATAAAGTTAATTTTAAAAAGCAGAAAAACAATATATAATAGAAAAGGGAATGTCTCGTGGGGACAAGTCTGCACATTTAATGCACTATAACATTTATTAATAACCATTGGTATTAAAGGTCCTATTACACAAAATTGAGTCTTGTGAGCTTTAAGACAGGTTATAATGTTGTTACCGCCTCACAAACAGACATGGAGTTGTGTTTTGTTTCATTCACACATGTTTGAGTAATCCTGCACTATTAGTCTATTTTATATCACTAAAGCTCAGAATGCTCTGTTCCACCTTGTGATGTCATGTAGTGCCAAGTTAATACCTATCTTTTACTTACCACTTTTTCAGGAGAGATTGGCAATTCCAGTGTTGCAATTATCCAAATGATTCTAGTGAATGCTTGGTGTTTAAAAACGCAGTGGAGCACTTCCTGTATTACAGCATGACATCACAAGGTGGAACTCCATGTATGTTTTTGATGTGTAAACATGATATCATAAATCAGAAATAGTATAATATGTGTCCAAGATAGATTGATCTTTTTTCTGCTCCTTTTCATCATTTTTTCACATTTTATTATATTTTATGAATGAAATTAACTAAATAATTGAATAAATAAAAGGCTAATTTGCATTGGGTTAAGTAAAAGCTTTTGTTCCATAACTGTTTTTATACTGTTTAGTTTTATAATTATTCTCTTTGCTCCTTGTATCAAAACTATTATTATAATATATATTTGAGTGTTGTTTAAAGAGCGTCTGACAGGTTTTTAAGATTCTCAAATTTTGAGTTCATATGGTCAGATAATACTTGTTGTAAATGTAAATTATAGTTTTACACTGATCAAGAAGCAATTTGTGAAGAAAAGTTGAAAAATATATTGAAAATTACAGGAAGTATAGAGTTCTATTCTAGAGATTCTATCTGAAAGTCATGTACTATTTTTACACAAGAAATACATTTGTTCTGATACTAAAACTGTTATTTAAACAAGATAACAGTGTTTTGTATATTTTTATTCGTTAAATACTCATTTTTGTGTACATTGGAGGAGTTTTGGCCTGGTGTACATTATGGAGGAAAGAGTTATGGAATTCTCTAATGTGATGTTATGATTTCCAACCAGGAAGTACAATTTTAAACATAAAAAACAAAATTCTTTAAGTAAAATCTTCATTGTAATGATCTTAATTGTGTTTTAGTGAAATGAATAGTTCAACTTGTCTTGGTACTTTAAGTAATTTCCCAAGTCTAACTAAAGTATAAAAGAAAGTCTTCATCTGAACAGTAATCTCTTTTTTTCAACATAGATAAGTTAAAGTTAAGTTAAAGAGAGTTGCTGACTTTTTCTTTGTGCGTATGTATTTGGTTCAGATATGTGCAGGGAGCAGAGGACTTGAACCCTGCAGGCTCAGAGTGCAGTCGATAAGATAAGCTTTATTTAACTTACAGCTCAAAGCCAGCCCATAGACTCTGTATGCTACTTTGACAGAAATGTTAAATGTTCCTTTCTGGAGCTTTTAAGGCGCACAGTGTAACTTGTCTACAGAGGGTCTGTCACCTGTTTGTCTCCATGGAGATGTGCCTAGAATGTTCCACAGTATGCCCATAAACATATGAATCTCCGTAGAGACTTGTAAGCCAAATTACAGGTTAGATTTGTGGAGAGGCAACCCCACTCACAGAAAAAATAAATGTTTTTTGAGCTTTTTTGACATTTTTGAGCAATAAATAACACCTGTAGTTGAATAAATGTAGGATAGATTAGTTAATTAATAGTTTTACACTGATCAAGAATCAATTTATGAAGAAAAGTAGAAAAATATATTACAGGAAGTAGAGAGTTCTTTCTATTTTAGAGAGTCCCATATTGAAGAATCACACTGTAGGGAGAATTCTGTCCAAAGGTTCGGCACAATTTACACAAGAAACAAATTTTTTCAGCCCTGGAATTGCCAATCTCATCTGAACTAAAGGTAGAAGGTAGCTGTTAATGTCAAAACTATTGCTCCATGACATCAGAAAGTGGAACAGAGCATTCTGAGCTTTGAAGATGTAAACCGAATAAAACATATGAATGAAACAAAACACAATTCCAGGAATATTTCTGAGGAGGTAACAATATAACATGGCTAAAACCTCAGAGTTGATTTTGTGTAATATAGGACCTTTAAAGGTGTCTTTATTTGTACCCTTGGGTAAATTTGATTTACAGTGATTAAGAAGTGTCAAACATACATCTGTATATGCACACAATTAATAATATAGACAAAATGGATAAAAAGTTGCACCGGGTGACTGCATGGACAAAAGAGTGTCTATATCTTTTGGTCTTGTGTACTCAATAAAGTTGTCTTATGTAGTAGCAGGTGGACCATCTTAACCACAATCACTTTAATATAAAAGATTTAGGGTGTCCTTTTGAGCCAGGGTTAATCTGTTTTGCACACTTGCTTATTGATCCCATTAGTAAGCAAGTAGATGCTAAATAATTAAGTTTAATGATAGTTAATTTAATAGTCACTTTTCCGGTTTCCAGATTCCGACTTTATAAATTACACTTCACTTTGTTACTTAAATTTAAGATAGTTACTTTTGACTGCACAATAGGATTATTTTCTCCATGTAGGGAGTCTCTGTTTTGTATGTGTTGGAATAGGTGGTGGATTTTGCCTGGATACAAAGCCTATTTAGATGCACTCTAATTAGACTATTGAAACGATTAACACTTAACAAATTTTGGAATATTCTGTGACTAAAACTGAGGACTTTCTTCATTATAATATAATGTGATGTGTGAACTACTGTGTCCGTGTAATTGCGGATCAATAAAGTCAAAGTCTAATCTTGTAAAACTGGCAGACCATTATTACTGTTTTGTTTTTCTTCTTTCAGTTTGTAAATGTTCAATATGGACCCATTGGACTCTGAAATAAAGTCTGATTGACTGATTGGTAGGCCGTTTTTTCTTTTACTTTCTTTCTTTACTTTTCTTTCTTTTTTTATGAATGTGTGTGTGTGTGTACGCTGGGTTATATATGAATGTAGTGTATTGTGGGTGTGTGTCTATCTGTGTACTGCTTGGTCTGTAAATAAAGTTATATTTTAAAGTTTCTCTCTGCACAAAAATGTAATATTAAGAGTAATATGACATGAACGCTTAAAATACAACATAAATACATCGGACAAAAAAATAAATCAATAAAAAAATAATTAAAAACTTGTGACTGAAGGCTGCGTGATTACGTAGACCTTGTACGTGTGACGTAGCCCGGTTTTACGCTGAGCGCTAGCTGCTCTTGCCTCTTCTCTTTTTGTTGTGGCGAGAAAACAGCGCAAACTGTGCGAAAAAAACTCCACAAACTCCTCGGATCCGTCGCCC